TGGCCACACACACACACACACACACACACACACGCGCATGCGCGCGCGCGGCGCGCACACACACACACATAAATAAATAAAAATTAAAAAAAAATATTTCCAGAAACTGTGTGCCCCTTGGTAAACAATAAACTTCAGTAATTTATAAAGTGTCACTCTAGTTAAGTCACTGACAAAACTAATCATGAAGCTTTTGCACACTTACACTTCTGCATGACATGGTGTGAAGCTGCCTCGTCTGCCCAGTGGCCTGGTAACTGTTTTAAAGGCTGCCCGAAGATGTGGGTTACGCTCAGAACTGTCACCCGAGCCGAGTGGTTAATAATTTGTGTTGGCTCTGGGAATGATTTTAACCACTGCTGCTTGATATATGACATTTCAAATGGGACTAAAAAGAAAACCTTGGGTAAATGTTTCTGTGGCAGCTTAATGAGGCAGGGTCACACAAACCCGCCAGGGAAGCCACTTGTGCAGAGTCAGGGGCAAGCTGGGTCTAAATGCTCACAGCTGGCGGGCGGTTGAGCTCTGCTTCTTCTGTCATGGTGGATCTACATTTCTGCAGCACCCTTTGCAGTCTCCATTGTGATGGCCTGGACCTAGAATGTCCCCAAAAGACTGAAGTGTTCAGAGGTAGGGCATTGGGAAGGTGGCTGGACCCAGAGGGAGCACATTTCTCGTGCGTTAATTCATAGTTTATGCATTAGTAGGAAGTGGGTCAGGTTGGACGCAAACTCTGCTCTTCCCAGTCTCCATGATGCAAGCAGCTTTTCTCCACCAGACCCTGCCCTGGAGCCAGCCACCCAGACATGTAGAACAAGAGCCAAAAAGAACCTCTCTCCCTTTAAGCTGTGGGTGCTGAGAATATTAGAAGGCAACTAAGATGCCAATGATCCCCGGGGTCCCGTGCCCTGCTGGTGTAGGGACAGCATTTCCTTGGAGAGGTGGGGAGCCCAGTACCCAGTTTTAGACTTCACAGTTTTAGTTTGGGCTGGATGATACAGAATTGTTCGTTGTGTGTGATTCATGAAAGAAAAAACACTATGAACTCTTGCTTATTTTGGGAAACTACTCACTTTGTAGGAAATATCCAAGAATGGGTTTTGGCCAAGAAGGATTTTATGGCCATGACTGATTTAGCCCAGGCATCAGCATCCAAGCTACCTGCAGTCTCTTCCAAATGTCTCCAAATGCCACCCTTCTTACTCTCTGGTGCAGAATGAACCCAGTGAATTGGAGTACTTGGGGCACCTTACAGTGATTTCTGATGCATATGATGGAAGGTGATAGAAAAACCTCAGGTCTCATCTTAAAGGAAGACTTAAGTTCCTGGAAACATATGTGCAGTTTCCTGGCCCAGGGAAATTTCTGCATGAAGCCAAGGAGGGGAGCTCAGGCTAAGCGAGCCGTACGCATGGCAGAATGTGGTGGGTTTAGGCACTGGGGTGTTTGGCTAGGAGAAGGACCTGGAAGAGACCCTGCAGGAATGCTCAGGAGGGGCAATTTTGATGGGTTTGATTCTTGCTAGGGTTGGTGTGCCCAACCTGTCTGGTACCCAGCGGTGCTCAGCAGACGGCTGTTGAACGAACACAGGAAACTGCAGGGACCCCAGCACAAGCCTACGAGACAGCACCGGGTGCGCAAACCGCCACCCCTACAGATCTGGGGGAGAAGCAAAGAGAAACACTACAGTCTACAGGGGGGCACAGCAGTCATACTTGAAATGAAGGTGCCAAAAGGGTGACGAGTTTAAATACTGCTCTCCATTGCATTTCTTTACTACCGCTTAAAGCAGGGATCAGCATGGACATCAGCAAAGCTAGGATTCCTTGAGGACAACAACAGGGATGGCCACAGTTCCCACCTACTCCGTGCTTACTCACGTGGTTCCCGCCCCTGGGCTGAGTGTTTTGCATGAAAGACGTTCTTTATTTAGGTAATATTTCCTTTTAACACACGGGCATGCCATGCTACAAAGGACAGCACCTTGCCTGAGACCCCTCTGCTGGAAAGCCCTGTGTGTGACTTGACGGAAGGTGTTTGACACGAGGGTAGGAGGACTCCTTTAAGCACAGGCGGCCTCTGCAGGTAGCCCATGGAGCAAACATTTGGGGAGGTCCAGGGTCCCTAGGAGAGTCCTTCCAGTGCCCGTGAGTTGCTCCATCCGTAAATAACACACGTGCAGCACACGCCCTGGCACAACAACGCAGGACGCGTGAACGCACGGGCCGCGTAGGCAGGGTGCAGGTTCTCATCTGAGCCGGGTGAGGACGGGCAGCCCGCGTCCCTCTCTGCGCAGCCCCAGGACATGCACGCTGCTTAGGCTGCAGTCGTGCAATTATCTCTCTGCTGAAGTTGTAATCTGCCAGTGCATTACTTCCTGCTGTGGGCAGAGCTGGGCTGCATAAATGAGCCACGCAGGTAGTGGGCTCCTCTGCGGGGAGACTGCTGTGTTCTCCTCGACTCGTCTCTCAATTATCATGCCTGAGACAGCCTGCGCGCTGGGCACATTCCCACCGACAGAAGCTTCAATTAGCAGGCTCCACAGAACAGGCCTGTGGACCCCAAACCTTCCTGATATCAAGGACAGAGGGGACACAGCCCCCCCTTTAACTTTCAGAGACAAAAATTAGGTAACCAACCCTGTCCCCCCCCCAAAAAAAAAAGTCACTCTCTGCAAAAGTCTTATTTCTTAAAGTGCCTGTTTTTCCTGGCTTTACATTTCAACAATTTACTTTCATGTGAAACCACCCAATTATACCCTGGGAGCCAAGGGAAGGTCAGACCCCTTCACACCCAGTAGTCTTGACAACCGACATTCCACTTAACAACAAGGTTTCCAGCTCTCAGACATGAGCTCTCTCCCAGAGACCCGGCCTCTGTAAGTCAGAATAAAGCAACTGCACACATACAACACAGTGGGAACAGGCTCGCTGGGCTGAACCTGAATGTCAAACACCTGGGGGTCCTCTCTGCAAAGGTCAGTGACCCTGTCCCCCTGATGCTGCACTTCTGTCCCATAGGGTCACCAGCTCTGAAAGGAATGCCTTTCTCTTCCAGAAGGAATGGGGTGAAAGACCGGGCAGATGTCACATCCCTTGGTGGCTTTGACAGAGGCCATTAGAGTGGCATCTCTGTCCGTCTGTCCCCAGCCTCAAAGCTTCAAGATCACCACATTCCACCACTTTCGTTCCTGTCCTCAGAGCCCCAATATCCTGGCGGGCCCCCTCCCCATCATATTCCCCAGGGCTTCAGTGCGGCACTCCCAGCAAGTCCCGGAGCATCGCGCAGGCTTTAGAAGATTCCTCTTACCTAACGCTGGGATCCATTTCAGGAAAGCCACCCAATAGGTTTTCTTTCAGGTGAGCTCACTGCTGTGACATTCCAAGATGATGTTAGAAAATAAATCCTCTGATGACTATATTAATACAGGATGGGGACACTGAATGCTGTGCTGGAAAGTGTCTTAGATGTCTATAAATAAACCTTTTTTAAAAAAAAAAAAAAAAACCAGCAGGAGGACTGTGAGGAGCTAATGGAAAATCCACTCTGGGCTGACTCTCACAGCAGAAGAAGGCAGCCACAGGCTGGGCCACACCCGGGACACTGGAGGGTTGATTTTTTTCCCCAAAGGAGAGCCACCAGCCGTGCTCCTCGGCAGACGGCTTCCCTTGCCTTCTAAAGTGCATGAAAGGTACACAGGGTTAAACTCTGGCAAGGAGCGCCCACCGAGGACTTCGGGGTGCAAGGATCTGCAGAGGCTAGCCTGGGGTGGAGGGAAGCCTCCAAGGTTTTATAAACACACAGCTGGTACAACACAGCACTGTGTCGATTAGAGCAGATGCCTAGAAGACGGGGCTGCTTCAGGCTTAAGCAGAGGAAACAGCAGTGACAGGCCGCGGGGGGCTGGGCTCGAGGGCTCCTAACGTGGGGCTCCCTTGCAGGGAACTGGGGGTGATGCTGGGCGTGTGAAGTTGGAAAAATTATTTTTACTTTCAGTGTCTTATCTGAAAGTTAGGAAACAAATCCCTACAGTATTAGCGCTATGGTTTTCTTGTCGGTGGAAATCGTGGAATGTTCACGTGACTTACTTTTTGAAGACATACATCTGTAATACACTTGGGATATCTGTGACGTGTGCAATTATATGTGCTGCAGATGTATGCACTTTCAAGTTATAAATGAATGTAAGTAGATGATCATCTTTACAGTGTGAAATAGTTGACATATTTGGAGGCATCCGAAGAGGCCCACCACCCTCGCCAGCTGGCCCTAGAGCACGCCGAGCCCCGGCACAGAAGGGCGACCTCCGAGCAGAACGACACAGCCTCACGCCAAGGCTCTACCTGTCCCCACAGAATTCCCTGCGTTGTGGATAACGGAGCACCGGCAAAGAGTGAAGAGGCATAATGGATACAGCAAAATGGAAAGGAACTGAACACAAGGAATAAGCAATAAAGATGAGGGAATGGAGAAAAGACAGGAATAGAGGAGGGGGTAAGCATGCAAGAACATATTCTGGATGGCTGGGATGATGGCAGTTCTCATTTCCATCGGTGTTTTGGAAGTAGCCAGTTAATGTTTAAAATTTTCGCATTAACTAACTCTCTATGCTCTTGTCTATAATCTGAGAAAACTACATCAAGGACAGCAAAGTGCAATGCAAAAACCATGGCTGAATACCTCTTGTGTTGTGCTTCCCCATGTATACCATTTCTAATGTCTTATCAATTAGTATACTCTCCTTAAAATAAATTTTAAAAAATAAAGTAAAAAGGGACGAGAAAAAATTAAGGTTTATTGCAAGTGAGAATCAATGTTTAATTATTTGACCAACTGTGCACACTTGTATCTATTAATCTGAACAACAGATTCGAGGAAAGTATGTAATACAACAACCATTGTTAACTTTTTATTCTTGGTTTGAAATTCTGTACCATTTGTACTGCGGCTTGTTGCTCTGTTTCTTTGTTTCTGCTATTTGTTTTTTATTCTTTAAAATAAAATGGAAAAGAGTGAGGAGGAGCAAGTTCTGTTTCCCAGCTTGTTTGCATTTTGGCAGCGAGCTCAATGGAACGAGCCGGAGGCCCGCTCACGTGCTGATCACGTCCAGTGTTGCTTCCTGCCATCCCGACAGCAACCTTCTACTGTACTCTTATTGCTTAGTGAAAAAAGCTGAAGCCCAGACCTGTTAAGCAGCCCTCACACATCCCCAGGCAGCTGGGAAACAGCAGAAATGGGAGCTGTCTCCAGCGCCAGTGAGTTTTATATTCTGCAAATTGGGACATAACTGTTCCTGCCCTACTTACTTCAAAGGATTTTTGCGAAGCCCAAAAGAATGATAGATGCCTAATGTATTAGATCTCAATAGCACTTTCTATTTTGCAAAACAAGTTACCCATACTTTTCAATTACTGTTATTACTCCTGAGATTTTCAAGTACAGCTGACGTCTCAAGTTTGGGAAATAACCAGTGGAAATGCACCAGTGGGGCTCTTTGAATCACACATTCAGCAGTAGTAGAACTACTCCACAGAGTGGTTGGTGGATGGTAGAAGGGTCTAGGTTACTGTCAGATAAGGATCCAATGAAATTAATTCTTGCTTGTTAGTGTCACCCTGCAGGGCTCGCTTGCAAAGTGTATTCTCTTCAACACATGAAAAATGCCCCCTTCAATCTAGTTTCAGGGTTTTAATTTACCTAGCACCTGTTACCTCCTAGGAAGCTGGACTGAAAGAGTCAGTCCATGTGGCTCGGGGGTGAAACGAGTAAAGCGTGACCAGCTGCCTGGAGCGTAAACCCTCTGCAAGCCCTGCTGGGAGTGGGGACCTCTGGGGACCTTCTCTCCGGGTGTCTCGGGGACCACTCACCTGACTGACAATGAAGAAGATGACTGTCATTGCGGCGCAGGCCAAGGTGATGAGCATGAGGAATTTGAACCTGAAAATCAGCCCCTATTTGGAAAGAGGGAAAGGTGCTTAGTGTTCTGCCGAGCCTTTTGTCCAAATAGAAATTCAAGAAAAACTAATTTGAAAGAACGGTGAAAGCAAATCCCAACGAATGATAGTAGAATAATTCCACTCGCTAGTATGCCTCCCGCAGAGGCAAGCACAGCCGAGGCACCTGGCTCCCAGGCTCGTAGGCCTCGGCAGCAGGGCTAGTGTAGCCTGGGCTACCACACTCCTAACTGGTCAGGGGGCTGCTAACTCCCCGCCAAGCTCGTGGGGCTTCTATTCAAGGGCCTAGACTTTCAGAATCCAAGAATTCTGTTCCAGTGAACCAAAGGAAATAAGCCTATCTGCCAACAGGAATTGGGTTGAATCTGTTTAAGCGTCATTCCAGTGCTGGGGCCAGGCAAACCTCAGAAAGCCCCTGAGACTCTGCAGAGCAGGCTGGATGTCTTTTATGCAGGGACTTTTATGTGCAGACCCCTGCCTAGGAACAGCCCTGGGTTCAGCCCTTTCTCCTCCTTTTGTCAGGAGGAATTAGGCTGGAGTCTCCAAGGACAGCCACTTAGGCATGACGCAAGGGGCCCTGGAAAGAAATCAGGAATGTGCAGAAGGGAGCAGAGGATGTGAGGCTAAGGTCTTTCTCTTGAGCAAGGAATACAGTCTGTACAGGATGACTGGACCCCGGCCCGTGGCCTGCTGGCTATTTTAGGAGGATGTGGGCTGACGGATCCAGGATGCACCTGCAGGCTCGTTGCAGGCAAGGGAAACCTGCTGAAACCCTTGCCTCCGCCTCACCAGAGCCGAGAACCTGCTGGGGGAGATGGGCCTCTGCTGTCCTGGAGACCCTGCAGGGGTCTCTCAGAGCTGCGCAGGATAGGAGAGACCCTTGCTGTGGCACTCACGCAGGGGCTGGGCCCCCGGGCCCCGAGCCACTCACCTCGTAGTGCAGCCGCCGCACCTTGCTCATGGCGGGCAGGCTGGACTGCTTCCCGCTGATGTTCCGGAACACCTGGAACACCATAAAGCACAGGAAGAGAAAGTAGAGGCACAAGCAGATCCCGGCCACGATGATGAAGGCCATCTGACAGCGCGCAGTCAAGGAAGAGGAGGGCTTTCCGATGACACAAGTGGGGACGCAGGCCGGGGTGCTTTTCCCAGAGCAGCTGGAGACACTTGGTTGGTCTCCAAGTATGTAGGGAATTTTGAGGGGGATAAGAATAGGACAAGCTTCCACGCCAAGGCCAGGATCCATCGGGAGGACTTTGGACACAAGTGGCAGTGGCAGGAGCTGGAGGCGGGGCCCACTGAGGAGGCAAGGCCCAACTGGGGTCCAGTCCGAGGACTACCATGCTTAGACAGTGTTTTCCTGGCTTAGAAGGGGGCTGGCCTAACTCTGGTTCATCTCTGTTTTAACAATCCCACCTGATTTGCATATATATATATATATATACACACACACATATACACATATATATATATATATATATATATATGTGTGTGTGTGTGTGTGTGTGTGTTTTAAAAAATGTATTTAGTAAGGGTCTACAGGGTCTCACTGCACACATCAGACTCATAGTGATCTTCCTGGTTTCAGCCTCCCAAGCGCTGGGATTACGGGCGCGTGCCACCATGCCCAGTCTCAATCGCCCTCTCAGTGCGCCCCGGGGGCGGGCCGGGGATCAAACCGCCGCCTGACCTCTGCCTAAGCAGGCACTTTAACCTGCTGAGCTATCTGATTTGCTAATATTTGAAAAAATCATCGTAACAAATGTGAGTGCAGCATGTAGCACGTCGCAATAAATCCCACTCACTTCCAGCACACTCGTCATTCTGCGGGTCTCTGGAAGCAGCTCTGGAAGTCCTTGGCTGAGGGTGTCTTTACGCTGTTGTGGCTGCCTGGATGTTGTGAATGGATTCAAAACACTGACTTCATGTTCATTCTGACCTTGGGGAAGAGCCAGAAGGCGCAGAGACAGAGCGGGCAGTATGGCGGGTGAGGACCCGGCGCCTTGGTTTTATGAGGCCGCCTTTCTGTTGGGTTGTGTTTTCTATTGGGTTGTGTTTTTCATCCCACCTTATGAAGCTACTCAGGACAGAGGACCCCAGAGTTGCTGCAGATAGTGAAGGGTGGCGGCTTTGAAGCAAGGAGGGAGGACCTTGAGGGGCGTTCCTGTGGATTTCACTATACTAATCCTTTTATTTAAGCATCTGTCACACTTTCTGGCCACACCTCACATTCATTAACTCGTGTGTCCAGTGAATTTCTCCTTTCTGTGATCAACAGTGCTCAGTTAAGGTGAGTGTGGTTGTGCCCTGCAGGTCTTAGAATTTTCCTGGCTTCCGAGACTTCCTTCCGCATCAACATGAAAGTGTGGCTCCAACGTGACATTATAAATGTTTCCTCCACTGCGCAGCTAACATTTTGGAGGAGGCAGTGCGGAGGTGGTGGTGTGGTAGTGGTGGAGGGAGGGCAGAAATCTGTTGTCTCTGAGGTGAAGACACCACTTACTTAGCTTGTCACAGTATTCTTTCGATGTTAAGAAACCAGACCCCGCAGGGTCAGGACAGAAGGCATTCATGTCCAGCACCCTTAAAGGGAGAAGCTAGGACTGTCACATCACCTTCACGAAGAAGCCTGGGCTGCCCCTGGAACAAATCACCTTAGCCTGGACTCCTGCCCGCTCATGGATGGAGACAGCAGCTGGGCACGCCTGGCACACCTGGTCACTGCCAGAGGTCTCAGGCACAGGCAGCTTTGAGACAAGCCGAGCTTTCCTCCCAGACATCACCCAAGGGGTTGCAGGGAAGAGCCAGCTATGCTTCAGCCTGCAGCAAACTGATGGGCCACTCTGCTCCTGCACCAGGCTGCTCTCAGCCAGGCTTGAAAGCAAGTGATTCTCACTGTTGTGTGCCTTAATGATGCCATTGCTGTGGGTCTCAGGATCCAAGCTCTAGCTGGGCACACATGGAAAACATCAGCTTGCTTTGGAACACGATCTTCAGAACCCGGCGGCAATGGAAACAAATAAACCCCCGAGTGCATCATGGAAGGATACAGCCAGCTCCGTGCCCACGTCTGTGGTCCAGATACTGTAGAAGGGGTTGGTCAGCTGCACACCTCTGCAAAGACAAAAGCAAAATGTAGAGGGAACGGTGGGCTGTAATCACCGCTAAGGCAAAGCAGGACTGCACTTAGCTTGCTTTCCCTTCCCAGCTGGGGGAGGGGGGCAGGAGCTGTGTCCAGACCACAAAGCCTCACAGAGAACCTACAGTGAAGCAGAGCTCGGGGAGCACAACTGCCCACAAGTTCTGCCACTTGAAAGGGCTATGCGTGGGGCTGGGGCTGCGCAAGGCCCTGGACTCCATCCTTGGGGCTGGAGCAAACAAAACAAACCAGCAAAGGGCCATGGCTTTGCCGTAGGCCCAGTGTGGATCTGCGGATGTGATCACACCTAGCATTTTCACTCCAAAGCTCCCAACTGCCGCTCTCCTTCACAAAGCCCCCTCGGATTGCCTGAAAGGGAGGCAGTAGTCACCTTCTGGGCTGAGTCCCGTGGCACCTGCTCACCTCTCACACATGTCAAATACGAAGAGGCAGAAAGAGCCAACAGCAATTGGGCCGACTTGCTTCCAGTATCCTGCAATGTGGTTCCGCTCATGTTGATCCTGGAGGAAACCGAGGGAAGAGGCGATCAGGCCAGGGCGAGCAGGCGGGGCCATGTGTTCCTCAGGGTGAGCCTGGCTTTCCCATGGTGTGTGCTGGCCAGCGTGGGACATCTGAGCTGGCCTTCAGGTGTCTAAGAACAAGGGAGGGAGCCTGCTCCGCTGGGAACATGATGACACCATCACGAAGCCCTTCCATGAAGGCTCCGATGGCAATAAGAGGACAGGGAACTCGGAGAACACAAGCCTTAGCAACAACCTTGGCAGAGGGTGCTTCTGTGGCCCATAAGATAAAGCTTCAGAATTACCTTCCTATGGCACTGATGACCTTTACTTGTAAAGGGTCCCCAAGAGGACCTATTGAGAGCATTAATCAAGGCATGCAAGTATGCTCAGCATGTAAGAACTTGTAGAATTAAAAACCAGACTTTTTTTTTGTTATCTGTGTTGAGCTGAAGAATGATGCCTCTTGGCAGTACATAAAAACACACTCAGAAAAGAAAGGGAGGGATGTCAGGTGAGGAAATAAAAAACATGAGATTAATTTCAGGGCTGGAGGGCGCAGCTCCATGAGATGGCACTTGCTTTGCATGCATAGAACCTGCATTGGATGCCCAACAGCTTCTCAGGAAAAAAGCTGTATCTGAGGCTCCAGGCTGGGGCACCCCTGGAAAGGGCTGGGACATGGTTGGGCTTGTCCCGGACAACCTTCTTGGCTGGCAGTGCTGCTCTTCTGCCAGGTCCTTACCCAGAACTCAGTCCTCCTAGACCCCACCCTGGGACCCTCACAGTGCAGCCAGGCAGTAGATGAAGCCCCCTTTTCTGCTAGGGTTTGCATCTAGAGGCCCCCCAAAGCCTCATGTGGTCAGAGGACTTTTGCAGAGGCTGAATCGAGAGTGTGCTATTTATTCATAGTGCAATGCAGGGATTGAGATGGGTGACTGGTGGATCAGTTCAGGGACTGCACTGGCACCCCTCCTGATCCTGGTAGACTGGATAAGAGATAAGGGGCAGAAAAAGCCTTGATTCCTTTCCTTGTTGCTCTGCTATCTTTTGCTGTCCCTGTGCCAAGCCACCTGCCTTGGAGTCAGCCGGATATGAACTGAGACCTCCACAAACTGTGAGCTAAATAGACCTTTGCTCCCTTAACTGTGGGTGTCTTTGTCTCAGCAATGAGAAGCGCAGCTAAGACAGAATTCTCTCGCACCAGCCTCCAGGTGGGGCAGCAGAACGATCTTAACGATGGAGCTACTGCAGGATGGAAAAAGAGTTGATCGTGACCTGAAGCTCACGCGCCCGACGTGAGGGCCAGGTGCAGCTGGCACCAGTCCTGTCGCTACTCATAGTACCTCCGCCTTTCTTAAATCAGGATTTGATGTCCACGCAAGAAGGTACTGCGGGTCACTGGGTGGTGGAGACGGACTGCTGGCTGCAGGGGCTGTGCCCGTTTCCCTGTGGCTGATGTGTTGGCCGGGAGCAAGCAGAGCTACGCTGTGGGACAAGGAGCAAGCCCACTAATTAGAATTGGAGTTTCATGCCTGGGTTCCTCACAGGATCTCACTGAGTACTCACAAAGACCTATTCATGAGGCTTCCAGGTGACCTTTCTTGGGCTGGGGCCCCCAGCTAGGTTACCTGCCCTGAGCCACTCAGCTCACTGTGAGTGAAGCTTGGCTCCTCGGCGTCCTCCTGTCCTCCTGGCCCATCCTGCCTCACTGCGGCGCCTGTGGGTGGTGGCCAAGGGACATCCGCCCCCTGGGACCCTCACCATCATGTGCTCGCCACAGAAGATGATCCAGAAGGACAGCAGCATGGCGTAGAAGACGCCCTGCCGGATGTCGCCGAACAGCAGCATCCAGGTCCAGTCGAAGCCGATGGAGAACCACTCCACAGGGATGTTGATGAAGGTCATGGAAATCCCGAGGGCGAAGATGACTCTGGGGGAGAAGGTACCAGAGGCCAGGTGACGCATGCCCAGCACCAAGGCGGGCTTCCCAGATCCCGAGGCCAGTTCTGAAAACCAGTTGTCGTTGCCTACGGGGACCGAGCAATCAGACCAGTTTCCTATGGTCACCACGAGTTCCCAGCTGCAATGTAGAATGTCCCCAGAGTGGAAGAGCAGGAGAACCACATTCGTGTCCTTTGCATCTAGTTGACCCCCATCACCCCACTTAATTTTGGTACCTCTGACCATGTTTCTGTTCTTTACCTTCTTAAATGGACCTGAAGGGGACACCTGCCCCCCCATGTGTACAGGACATGTCCACCTGGCCATTAAGAGCTCCTGTTCTCATTGTGATAGCCGCAGCTGTGAATTATACGAGCATGTCTGTCTCAGCAATAAATAACCTCAAACACAGAAACACCAGCTCTTTAGGCTGTTCCTTGAGGTCGTAGTTCGCTTTGCATCACCACACTGTGAACCTGGCTGTGACAGTGTCATACCTACATCACCGAATCATAGTTTTTTCTTAGCCATGGGATTGAGACCATGGGTTTAGGAAACACAGAGCCTGTGGCAGGCATGGTGAGAAGGCCACAGACCCCAAGGGATAGCTTTGCCTCACAGAGAAGCATTCGCGGGGGAAGACGGGCAAAGGCGACGGCAGCGGACTCCAGCAAGCAACATCCCATAGTGTAGCGAGTGGAAGGCAGCCACCGAGACTGCTGTCGCGGGCAGCGGCCGATGCTGAGCTCCAGTGAGCAGAGGCGAGGAGGAGGGAGGTGTGGGGTGCCTGGCTGGGGCCACGGAGGCTCGCAGAGCTTGCAGCAGCAGGCCTCTAGGACTGGCACAGCTCAGGAAAGAAGAGGACAGCAGCGCAGGGAAATGCAAAGCCCGAGCCCGGCAAGCATCTCGTGTACCTCATCAGGGAATTTAAACTTATTTCGAAGGGCCTGGGAACCCAATAAGAGTTACATCATCAGTCATCCATTCAACGAAAGTGGGAGGAGAGAGGCAAACAAATCTGAAGAGAAAACCAGGTAAGAGAATGCAGAGGGGTGGGGTGAGATTGCGCATCAAGTGGGCTTGGAATTGCCTGCAGGATGAGAAATGTCTGGTACCCAGGAAAGGACCAGCAAGTGCAAAGGCCCTGGGGGAGCCCACGCCAGCCACCAAGGAGCTGAGAGAAGTGGAGACAGCACCAGAGATGGCGAAGGGCCAGACTGTCCAGGGGTTTTTAGACCAGGACAAAGGAGAGGAAAAGCCCAGGACTACATGATGTGATTACCGCTTGGCAGGAAGTGTCCAGGCTGCCTGGAGTGGACTCCAGGAGGAAAATGGCTGAAGCCGGAGGCCTCAGAGGCTGCTGTTTCCAGTGATCCAAGTCTTGGTGGGTTGCTTCAGTGAGGCGGTAGCAACAGAAAGGGTGAGATTATCTAGTGACTGAGATAAGAGGAGGGAGGGAGAGGGAGGGGAAAGACAGGGAGAGAGAGCAGGCAGGGTGACTGCCACCTTTTAAGCTGGAGCAACTAAAAGGATGGAGTTGCCTCTTGGGGAAAACTGGGAGAGAAACAGTTGTTTGAAAGGAGAGAAATTCAAGCACCACTATCTGTATACATTGCAGGTTGAACGCAAGTGAAGACATTAGATAAACAGTAGGCATGCTTGGGTCTAAAGTTGGGAGAAGCTGAGGTTGAAGCTGTAAACTAAGAGTCCTCAGAGGGCAGAGGGTTTTGAGGCCCATGGAGCCTGGCGGGGTCACAGGGGAAGCAGCACATCTACTAAGAAGAGGCCGCCCAGCCCGAGCCTGGGCTCCAAAGTTGAAGAGGCTGGAAGGATCTGAGGGAAGTGTCATGGCATGTGGAGAGGACAGTGGGGGGTGCTACGTGAAGGACACCACCTGTGATGTCAGTGCTGGCGACGTCCAGCAAAGTGGACAACGAAAGTGATCCTTGTACCTGGAAGATGGAGCTCAGTGGCCCGGCTGTGAGCAGCAGTTTAGTGGAGTAGTGGGAGGAATCCAGGCTGGCAGGGGCTCGGGAGAGAAGTGGTGGAGACAGCGTACAGGATTCTGAGGGTTCCCACAGCAAAAAGAGCAGGAAAATGAGGCAGCGGCTTCGGAAGGAAGCGGGGAAAGCAGAGTTTGTCTGAGAACAGGAGCTAGCAGAGCGTGTCCAAGTTTTAGTGTAAGTGACCCAGCAGGAAGGGAGCAGTCCGTGGCACAGGAAGGGAAGGACCCCTGGGCTCAGGAGCGCTGCCCTTCTGTGGGCAGCAGGGCAGGCTCAGCTGGGAGCAGAGCAGCTCATTAACGTAAAGCGAGAAGATTCCGACGGTTCCAAGTGTGGAGAAGAGTGAAGACAGAAATGTCAGAGACACAGACCCTCTAGGACCGAATAATGATGTGCATGGGAAATCTGAAGGCCAGGAAGGACTCCAGGGCCACTCCTGGCTGCATCTCCTGCCTGAGCCCCTCGGTGGCTGCTGGAAGTGGGCCCAGAAAAAACAGGCGCCTGCTGGTCCCAGGGAGGAGCAAGCATCCCTAGGGAGCGCGCCGTTGGCTCTTACTTTTCCAGAAGTACCGGGGGTCGGGACATCATGGTGATCCTGCGCCAGTACCACACCATGGTGATGAGGATGCTCGGCGTCAGGAAGGTCTTCATGGCGAACCACACCTTGGTGAAGCCTCCGTTTTGGTGGATGCCCTGGACGGACACAGCCAGGGAGAAAAAATCTTATTATGATGATGATAGATTTATGTATTTATTCCTATCTAATCATTCAGGGGACAGATGAGTGGAAACCTCGTGTACCAAACTTTCAAAATCAAGAGTTGAGAAGCATGGTGTGAGCCATCCCCACCTACCCTGAGCTCTCTTCAAGCCCTGCAGAAATATAAATACTACAAAGCAGGAAAATGGGCCCCTTCATGCAAAGGGAATGATTAAGAATATGATCAAGAATTTTTTTTTTTTGTAGGGTTTTCAGTGTAACATAGATGTTCCATAGGTCCAGCAGGTTGGGATGGGATTGGCCAAATGTTGTAAGGAAAATCTAGGCAGCAGAGTCCAAGCAGTTTTGGGAAGTAGAGCTGTGTTATCCACAGCACATTCTTATATGAAAAGACACAAGCATCAAAGTTCAGCTCAGTGTGATCTGTCTTTATGATGGAAGCTTGTATCACAGAAGCCCTGGAGGAAACAGATCCAAAGCTCAGAGGTTATTTCACTGGATGGTGGATGATGGACATTTCAGGAAGGTCACTGTCACGCCCCAAGGGGGCTCTACCTATATTTCTTAGTTTCCTACAACAAATGCCTATTTCTTGCGGGACTGCTTTGGAGTTTTAGAAACTGTTCTTCTCACTGTGTGTTTTTCCCCTGTTAAGTAAAATGGAAAGAACCTAAAATGGCCCTGGCTCCCTGGAACATCAGCACATTGGAAGCACTGGACTTGCTGCCATCCCTGGCCTGTCAGCACCACCTTGTGTCACTGCAGTGCCCTTCAGCGATCTCCAGCCCATCTGAAGCACTTGCATTGCTTGCCATTTCTGTCATCTCTCGCTCGGAGTAATTCACTCTCGGATCTCGGTTGGCGGGGCTGTGGCCTTTGGCCCGCGTCCAGGAGGCAGCTGGGCGAGGGGTCCCTCCCGCACACCCGCCCCGAGCAGCGCCCCTGGCCAGCAGCCTGCTGTCATGGCCTGCGGGGTCAGGGACCTTCACTCACCACCAGCCGGATGTCCTTGATCTCTCCGATCCCGACGTTCATTTTCTTCTTCTCGTTCACCGGCAGCCGGATGTTTAGCAGGTAATACTTGTGGGCCACGGAGCCGATCTCCATGAAGGGGAGGACGTCGCATTCGTAGTAGCGGCCCTCGTGCTCCGGCGTCTGGAAGAACAGCACGGGGCCTCAGGCGGGTTCTCGGCCCAGGGTCTGTGTGCCAACCCCTTGACAGCGTCTCCATAGTGAGTCTGAGGACGCAAGTGCTTACTGGAGGATCGTCGGGGCCACGTTACAGGAGGAGCAAAGAGGGTAACGAAAATGCAGAAAGCCCGCCAACTAGCTCCGCCGAGATTAAAGCGCCTGCAAACCGGCGTGCCGACACCCCCCAGCCCCCGCGTGCTGAGACGGCAATTGAGACTGGGCATGGTGGAGTGTGCCTGTAATCCCAGCTCTTGGGAGGCTGTAACACTACGAGTCCAATCTAGAAGTGAGACCCTGAACACCCTGTAGACCCTTCCCTAAAATACCAAAAAAAAAAAAAAAAAAAAAAAAAAGAAAGAAAGAAAGAAAAGAAAACACAGAGATCTCTTCTATGCCTGAATGCTGCTCTCTGATCCTCTTCCAGCCGCACATCAGACTACCCTGAGCAGACCCGGAGCTGGCGTGGTCACGAAGCGGTCACCACGTTCCAGAGGAAGCAGTCGCCAGAGTCCATTACACTCTTTGAGGATGGCCAATTATTATTATTATTATTATTATTATTTACAGTACTGGGCAGTTAAACCTGGGCATCTTCAGTGAGCGAGACCCCCAGCCCAGTTTTATTTTCATTTCTGAGGCAAGGTCTTTCACAAAATCCCCGCGTTGCCCGGGCTGGGCTTTAGCCCTCCGTCCCATGCCTCAGCCTTCCAGAGCGCTGCGGTTACAGGTACGCACCCAGGCCCGGCAGATGGTGGCTAATTACTTTCATGGTGAAGGTGAAGTATCACCTTTTCCTGGACCTGACAGAAAAGCAGCAGCCAGCCAAAGAGGCGTGGGGCCCGGGGAGACGGGAGGGCAGGAGGGCCATCCTGGGGTGAGGCTGCTCCGGGGTCTCTGCCCCACCCTGCTAGGAGCTCAAGAAGTGAGCTGGCAGCTGCCCTGGGATGACAGAAATTTGGCCAGCTTTCCTGAAGGGCCCCTGGGCTGCCGCTGGGCAGTGATGAAAGCATGCACGGGGACCAGGTGGCTCTGGGGAACTAGCGCTGCAGTCCTGCCCGGGCCGGGGTGTGAGTACCTATCGGAGTCCAAGTGATGTGGGGGTCACAGCGGGTGAGCATTTCCTGAGCAAGTGTCTGTGTGTGGAGGGGGGCTGTCCACGTCTGCTTGCCTCTGCCTATCAAGTGACAAGGAGACCTAACGTGTGGTTCCACAGCCTGAGCAGACTCGCAGGTCTCCAAAGTGGCCAGGTGGTCAATGTAGAAGCCCAGAGGTGGAGAAGCGAGGTAACCACAGGCCAGGGTGGAAGGGCCTGTCCCTCACAGGGGCTGGCTAGGCTCTGCGCTAGACAGGTGTAGCAGAGGGAAGTGTTTCAAACCTTGGGACAAATTCTCTCTTTGTCTGTTTCTGTTTCTGTCCCTCTCTCTGTGTGTCTGTCTGTGTGTCTGTCTGTCTGTCTCTCTCATACTGTGTTTGTCACACTGAATTACATCCTCAGCTCTTTCTTATTTTGAGATAGGATCCCTCTTAGTTGCCCAGGCAGAGCTTGGACTTGAGATTCTCCTGCCTCAGCCTCCTGGCATTACAGATGTGTGCCACACGGCTCCTTTTTTCTCTTGCTCTCACAAATCAGGGTAGATTCTCCCCTCAGGCTCTGCGGGGAGGACTGAAGGTGCATCAGGGCTCTGCTTACCCTCTGTGGCTAACGGCAGGAGAACAGTTCCACCAAGTTTGCAGTGGGGTCCTCTTTTGTTTCTAGAACCTAGACTTCAAGCGGGAAGGGAACAAATCCCACTTGGCCTAATATCACTTGATGCAGTCCTGTCCATGGTGCCCCAAACAGTAGCAGACCCAGGGCAGGAGCCTGGGTTTTCAAGCCTCCAACTCTGAGGGGGCATAGCGGCCTTGGCGCCCAGCCTGCCTCGCCCATCGCTGGGGACCTGGGTCAGCCCGCTTTCTGGCAGGCAGAGCCTGGGGTTAACAGGAGGGTCACCAAGTCACTAACTCCCTATTGTGGTGTCTGCTACATCTGTGTGTCTACACAGACTCGTACAACCACCAGGAGACATGGACACTGAGTAGGGTCCTGCCAGAGACAAACCATGGTTAGAGGCTTTTCCTGTGGCCTCTGCCAGGATTTCGGGCATTTAAGAAAGCAGATTTCTCTCTCTCTGCCCCTCTCTCTTCTCTTTCCTCCCACCCCCACCCCATTCCCCCCATACCTCTGGCATGAGACTGGCTAATTAGGACAAATTACAGCAGGTGGCAACTTCACTTTTTTTTAACTTCACAATCCACCAGGGACTAAAAAAAAGCTTTAAAGCAATTTCTCATTTAATCTTCAGACTCAAGACTAAATTTCACTGCAATCAAAAAGCACAGATTCAATGATTCATCTCCTTCATGCCTTTCAAGGTTTAATGTCTCTCCCGAAAGGGATCAACACATCCTAAAGATAATTAAGCAATTGTCACCAAGCAGCAAGCATCCCTCCCTCTCTGCCCTGCCCTCCCCGTGCGTGCGTTGGGAAGGTGAGAAACACACTTCCCTTTCTGAGGATGAAACTCCAAACCCTCTTGCTCACCCACAAGTTGATGCAAATCAACACTTAAGGGTGGTCCGGAATGGTTTAATCCACCTCCACTGCGCACAAAGCTCTGAAAATGCTAGCTTTCCTCCACCTCCCTTCTAGTTTCTCCTTCTGGATCTTACCAATGTGTGATTTTCACCCAATGAGTGCCCCCAGGGCTGTCCCAAAGTAACTCTGGATGGCTGCTTTTCATGCAGCCCCCCCCATCCCCCGGGTGCTCTATGCAAGGCTGAAAACAGTGACTCAGACTTTGGGACCTCAGTGCATGGACAGAAAGGCTGTAAGACGGAGCCTCAGATCCGGGCACCTGAGATCTCAGTCCAGGATGTACTGTGGTATGCGCATCCCTCCCGATAGCCCTGCTGAAATGCGCATGTGAAGGCGCTAAGGGGAGCGGGGGTCTAGAGGTGATCGCGTCTCAGGGGCCCTGCCTCCTGCAGCTCATATGCTGCTGTTGTAGAAATGGTTTAATTACAAGAGGGGGGCAGGTTGCCGCAGCGAGATCCCTGCTTGGTCCCTGCTGCTGTGGCTTGGTGCTGCACCAAGGATCTTGCCGGGTGGCACCGTCACTGCCGTGGAGCTCCTGGACTCCGGAGCTGTGAGCCCGATGAGCCTGTGCTGTTCACAGCATGGCCAGCCTGTGGGGTGCGCGATGGCAGCGGAGGGTGTGCTGTGAGCACTCCAGGAGGTGCAGCCCGAGAACCTACACTTTCCACCCGATTGGTGTGGACACAGTGAGGCTGCAGACCACTCTTGGGGTCTCTGGTCCAGCAAGTGGGGGTGGGGGGCACCAGACCCTGCAGGAGGTGCCCAGTGGAGGATACATGCTCTGTCCAGGAGAGGCTCCATGCCTCCTTTCGTCCAGGTGACCCATCTTGTGAAGTCCCCTTCCATGCTCAGATGCAGCCCAGACACAGTGTAAGCATAAGACCATCTGGTCATCCCATCCTCCCCAATCTCCTGAGGCAGGTGTTATTGTCCCCTTTTGTAGAAGAGACATCAAGGCCCAGGCAGGTTATGTACACCTTCCCGACTAGGCGAGAGCACAATGTCAGGGTGTGACAGGAGCACGGAGGCCTGAGCCTGGCTTGTGCCAGGACTGAGAGGTGCCTGCCTCATCTGACCTCTCTTCTGGGAAGGCAAGAGGAGGCTGGGCCACAGGACTCAGGGGCTCTTGCCTGCCATTCCTCACTACTTCGTAGGGACCCTGACTTTACAAGGACAGGTGAAAGCAAAGCGAGGAAAGGCCGAGGCGGCCAGGAGAGGACAGCAGAGGTCACAGGGCTGTCCATATCCCTCAGGAGCCGCTGTCTGAAGACAGTGAGTGAGGAGAGGAAAGACACCACCCATGGTGTACTGCAGGGCAGCTGGGCCTCTTGTGCATTGCACACAAAGACACAGGGTCGCTTCTGCATGGGAAGGGACACCTGCAGTGCCCTGGCTGGTGGTGTTCAGGGGCACCTGCTAGGGGAATGCAAGCAGGTAGGAGCACAGTAGCTACAGCTGCAGCTCACCTGCATGGAGACTTTCTTTGTTTCTGTTCTCTCTCTCTCTCTCTCTCTCTCTCTCTCTCTCTCTCTCTCTCAAATGTATTTGTACAGGGTCTCACTACACAGCTCGGACTCATAGTGATCCTCGTGTCTCAGCTTCCCCAGCTCTGGGATTATAGGTGTGTGCCACAACAGCTGGTCTCAGTCAACTACTTAGTGCACCTGGGGGTGGGTCTGGTGTGGCATGTGGTGCCATGGATTGAACCCGGGTACCTGTGCTTGCCTAGGGAGGCGCTTAGTCTGCTGAGCTATCTCACTGGCCCTGCATGGAGACTTTTGAAGGACGGGCTGTGAGGGCAGCTCCATCCCCCTGTGCTGCACTGGTGCCCTCAAATCCCATTGTCCTTTGGGTCACTGTGTCCAGTGACCTTAGGAGGAACCTAAGGACTCTGCCCACAAGGAAATGTCTCCCTACTTTTGGAGCAGGGTTGTTCTGTTCATCCGGGTCCCTGAATGAGCTTCCCTGTAAGCACCAGAGAACAGTCACCAAGTCTCAAGTGAAACCAGATTTCCTCTCTGCGTCCTTCCCTGTCCACAGTGACCTCCAGGATTGTGTGTGCACACCCGCAGGCCTCCGTGCAGCACTCAGGTGGAGGCCTGCGAGACCGAGCGGCAGAGTCCTGGTGCAGAGGGAGTGTGACGTAACCTAGCAACGCTCTTCTGGCACTCGGCCGGCTACCAAAGAGCCGAGAGTCCCTTTTTGGAATCCTCTTAGAGACACAGCTAAGGCCCGATAGGCAGATGTTCCTCCTGTTCCTTAAGTTCTCTCCTCCCCTGCAGCAATATGAAGTGTCACGTTGTCCTTCTACTAAGACAAAGATGACGACCAACCTTTGTGCGACTGCGCGCTACGCCCTAAGGCTGTGTGTGTCAAGTGGAAGCAGGGCTTTCTGCGTGCTGCGGACCAACGTGAAGCTACGTCAGCTGAGTCGTCGAAGGGCCCTACCTTGGGGGAGGGGAAGGTGCACTTGAGCTTCCGCGGCACTCTCTCGTGGGCCATTTCGGTCCATTCTGCCATCGTGTCGTCGCGGTACGCCAGGGAGACATCCATGGACACTTCGGCATTTTCTCCTGCAAGAGAAAGAAAGGGCGCACAGCTCAGGACGTGCTGTGGGAAGAGGCTCTGGAAATGGTTCCACAATTCTTGGAGGCTCTACCACAGAAACCAGCAGGGCAAAAGTGACACGTTAGTTCTTAATCAAACTCCAAACCTGAACACACAGAAGTCGTAGGATGGAACTCTGTGACAGACACTGGCTTCCTTGCCTCAGCCAGTCTACCGGAGTAGAGCATTCCATTTGGACTCCTCCAGGGGCAAGGATGTCACTCACTCTGAGGCAGCTCGAAAGGCCGGTTCTGTGTCAGGCTGAGAACAAACCCCCCAGCCCTTGCCTTCTGGTCCTAGCCCTGCTCATGATGGGAGCCACACAGAAGGTGAGATCTGGGCTTGAGGGAGGAGCAGCTGACATCGCGCAGCCCTCTCCACAAAGGACGTGGCTATACTTGTCATCATCGTGAGGAGGCTCCAGCTGGAGGCCGTGAGTGCAGAGCTTTGAGTACTGACTCTGCCCTGAACATGGTGTGGTCACACGCAGGCAGGCCGGGCTGGGTGGAGGAGTGGGCCTTGTCTGCGGAGATGGCTGCGCCTCGGGCCTCAGTCCATGGCTGCCATGATGTCTACAGCTCAGACATCTGCAGACTCCTCCGTGTTTAGAACAGAAGCCAGAAATTCAGATTACTACAAGACGTCTTGTAGTTTTACAAAGTCAGTAATGGAAAGCCAAGCCAAACCTTTACGGCAGTCTGCTGAAATTTCAGATGACCTCTGAGGTACTCTGAGGAGACAATCACTTCACAGTGACCACAACATCCCCATCTTTTTCTTACTCTTTCCCCATCAGGTTGAGTTCCCTCTAACGCTGTGTGTGATTTTTCACTGAGTTTATACCATGTTCTGTTGTTCTGTCCCACCCTCGTTCATCACCTGTTTAGTCCCTGAGCAGCCTGGACAGATGCCCTGCCATTTCCAGACATGAAGTATGGAAGCCGGAACTCAAAGCCCAAACCCTACCTGCCCTCACACTGCATCCCGGGGTGGCTTAGGGCGTTTGTACCATCTTTCATGGTGTATATAAGAAACAGAAGAACAGGAGGCCTGGTCTGTTCCGGGGACCTTCTTGTTCCCTGGCTGTGCAATATCACCTCCTGACGGCTGCCTGGGCTCCTTACCTGGAGAACAAGACATACCTCACAGGATTTTGTGATCACTAAATTAGATCCATGAAAAATTCTTAGAATGGCACAGAAAACAACCAAGGTGAGCTAGTGTTGCTGTCATGGAATGGTGGTGAGTTCTGAGATTACCTGTTATGGTCCCTATCCAGATGTCCCCAAGAGCCACCTGTGCCCACAGGTGGGCTTTAAGGAGGTGGCTGGACATCTGGGTCTCCTAGCTGAGTTGCTGTTAGGAAGTGGGCCCTGCTCCAGGTGTTCCCCGGGGGCGTGGCCTAGGAGAGCTCCACCCCCTCTCCGCCTCCTGTCCTCCAGGCCCCTCTGCCATGCTGCCCTGGTTGGCAGCCAGCCAATAATGGATTGAAGCTTCCACACCCAGAAGCCAAAGTAAACCTCCTTTTCCTAAGTTGTGGGTGTTGGATTTTGTGTCCCACCGATGAGGGAGTGATTGAGACGCTACCTTTCTATCAAAATAACTGCTGGGGTTCAGCACCGTAGAGCTGCCCTGTGAGGCCCCAGCCAGACCCAGGGCACAAGGCTCGGGATCAGGATGGCGCTGGGCAGAGAAACGCAGCAGAGCTGTGAGTTGGCCCCTGCGTCCCCTGGGAGTGAGGAAAGAGGACTCTTGCTTGACTGACACGGCCTCTTCTCTCTGGAGCACAGTATTAGGTTATCAGGACAGTGTAAGAACAAAAGCTGGGGTCAGACAGCGCTCGTCCTGAATTCTGTCTTTATCTTCACAGCTGAGCAACCTTGAATTTGTCTTGATTTCCACCTCTGCAAGATGGAAATAGTGGAATACACTTCCCAAGCGGTTGGACTCCTGACACACACCCAATGCGCCCAGCCCTCAGACTGTCAGACAATATCATGGGCCAATTCAGTGGAAATGAAGGGAGAGACAGTTATTTCATGGCTACCAAAAGCTTTTAGGTTCCTAGAGGAGCTTTGATTTTCTTGGGCCTTTGTCCTAGAGAGAAAAATTAAAGAGGCTTCCCAATGCCCAAGTGCATTTCCACATTTCATGCAGGGGTCGCTGCTCCGGAGTCCGTTCCTGGCAATCTCAGCCGGGGCCGCCCATTCTTTCCTGATCAGAAATGCCCTGATCTGGCCTGCATTTTCTACATGCTTTCAGGGAAGGAAATAACAAAACTAACCCTGATTTCTAGCAACAACAACAACAACAGCAACAACAACAACAAAAGGCTCTGCTAATTAGAAAGGGGCTGTGGCTGGTATATTGATATGCCCTCCAGGCCTGGGTGGGAGATTTATACAAACACAGGAGTACAATTGTCATAAGCCAGCCTAGCAGTCCCGTTCCCACTACCTGGCTCTCATCTCCCCCAGGCCAGGTGCTCCCATGGTGGAAGTGTTTTCCAGGAACCAGAGGAGCGGTGCCTTGCTGCGCTCAGGCACTTGCTCCGTCTCCTGGACGGAGTCAGACAGCTGTCAGGGAACCCTGCCGAGGACCAGGAAAACACTGCCAGCTGGAGGGTTGTTCCTGCCAGGAAACACCCCCTCATGTGCCGCTTGAATGGCAGCTCCCTTGGCTTCCCCTCACTGCCCACCGTGGGGTCCCATCTGCTGCCAGGATGCCAGGTCCCCTGTCCACTCCAGACTTCGCAGCTGAGTTTTGAGTCCACATGCTCAGGTCCCACTAATGTCTCCACTTCCCTGGTTCCCAGAGCCCAGTGCCCACACTGCGCCCACACGGGCCCCCTCCTTGTCTCCTTGCTGCCCTTCCCACTGCCCGGGCTGTCATCTTGCCTGGCTTGGGGACCGAAATGCTCCTGTTCCTCATGGTCATGTTGCAGCCCGACTTCTGGAATGCCTTCTATACCTTACTTCCTCCTGAGTCTACAGTGCAGCCTCCTCCCAGGCCATAATGGCCTATTCCTTTTTAGCATTCCCCATTCACATCCCATGGGGACTTTTAGACGTTCACTGGCTTCCCACCTGCTTTCTTCACCCCCAAAGCACAGCACAGCACCCCTTGTCCTACTCCCATGGTGTGGAGGACCACCTGGGCAGCTCTACTTGAAAGAAGTGCAGTTGTTTCCATTTTGGCTATGATATGTGCGGAGCTGGCTAGGACTTTTCCTTATCCCTTCAGTTGGAGTTGAGCAGTGCAGACTGGTCTAGCTGAGGTGCTGGTGGTAGTCTTGGAAGACAGCAATCATGTTACCCCAGAAGCCCCCACCCACCGCTCTTTAATATGAGCCGGGTCGAGATGAAACGAGGAGCCAGAGCGCCACACTGTCTGCTGGGATTGAGCCTCAAAATAGAGACTATGAGCGATGACACATCAGAGCTGAGGACCCCTAAACATTAGACACTACCTCAGTTGTGTAACGCGGATCACCCTCTGCGTATCCTTCTCTCTGCATATTACAGAAGTAAATGCAGGCTCCCCGCCCAGCCCAGCTCACATCACTCAGTATTTCCTGCCACTCTGTCACTCCCTTCTTCACAAATGAATAAAAGCTGGGTTCTGTCTTGAGCCGGGGGGGGGGGCTTTGTTCTGGATCGTCATTGTGGCTGGATTTAGGGCACCTTGGCTCCCCATGATTATAAATATGCTTTAGTGTCTTTATTCTCACTGCAGATTACACTGGAAATGGTAGATTGGAATTAACTTGAAGGGATATCAATAACTTATCCATGGGATTGCAAATATAAAGTTCTTGGATTGAGATGAGGGCCAGGAAGGGCTCTCTACAGTTGGTGCTCAACGTGGCCAAACATGCAACCTCAACACAACAACCACTACGTAGAGTCAGGTGTGGGTGATCCACTGGACCTCGTGTGACCAATTTAGAGGTAAGTATGGTGCCCACTGGAGCAGCACCCTTGTCCTCCTGCAATGCCCTGCCCTTCTGGGCTCTAGTTGGAAGGACTCTCACTTACATCTACCATGTCCATCCACACGGGATACTCATTAAATAGTCATCAAATGGATGAATACCACCTTTCTGGCTTCAGGAAGTTCTGCAGCCCCCAATTTCCAGTCATTTTATTGTCTCTTTACCAATCAAGTGGTTTGCTCAAATATGGTGACATCCACACTGTTATGGTTTATATCTAGATGTCCCTCCAAGCCTCATGCAGTCACATGTGGAGTTTTTTCGGCAGGCAAACGGATCTAGAGTACATGATGCTGGGATTAAGCGTACCCTACCCTGGGTGTGAGTGCTACTGAGGGCAGGAAACCTGGACAGAATTTAAGGGACAGAGAGAGGGCTGTGGGGCATGCCTGCTGCTTGCTGCTTTTGCTGGCTCCTGCCTGCCATGAACTGCTTCTCCTCTGTGACACCCCCTACCTGCCCTGCCACCACGCCTTGGAGTCAGCCACCTAAGAGCTGAAACCCCTACGAAACCTGAGCTGAAATAAATCTCCCCCTTTTAACTTTGGGTGTTGGGTGTTTTTATCTCAGCGATAAGAAAAATACCCATGACACATTTTCTTTCTCTATGGCCTGCTTTCCCATCCTCAGCTTTACTTAAACACACACACACACACACACACACACACACACACACACACACACACACTCAGAAAGACGATGGTCCTCAACCTGGGTCAATGTCTTCCCAATTGTCCAGCTGAGGAATGCTGTACCTGTTTCTCAGGTCCAAGTGGAAGGCGAATGGGAGGAAAGTGGTCCTGGAGGATGCTGGCCCCCTCCACCTCCCCCCAAGAGTCCTGTGTCCTGGGTGTGCTCTGATGTCTGCCTGGAGAGGCTGGCGGCTAAAGAAGGACACGATGCAGAGCCCCAGCCCCGAAAGCCACAGGTTCACTGAAAGTGCCTGAGATTTATGGCTGAAGAATCACATGG